TGTCGTGATCCTAAAACCCTAGAATCACCCAGAGATTCGGTCCCTAAATGCCCGTATCTCAACAAGGTTCCCTGAAAGCTGTTTCAGGCGCGAAGCTTCATATACATGAGCAAAGTTGCTAATTATTGGAGTTCGTGCGTCCACACTTTTCTTTGATATCACTGATCGACTACGTTGATGCGCTTTGATAAAAAGTGGTCCAATACTTGATGGGCTCTTTCTTTATTGGTGAGTTATTCAATAAAATGGGTTCAGTTGCTGATGGGCTGTTCACGCAAAGCTTCAAGTTGTCTTCTGAGGCCTTTCTCGCATGCCTGGCTGCAAAAGCTGCTGGGCAGTTCAACTTTATGCCACGATCAAGCAATAATTCGCGGATTTAAAAGGTGGGCGCACTCAATTCAATACATGAGCAAGGCAATGATGTCCGTTAGATTTTGTGGGTCGAAACTTCAATCTGGCCGCAAATCACTACTTCTCAACCCACCCTCCATTCTGGTTCAGGTTCGAGGAGAGCGCGTACGAGGCGCTCCAAGCGGCCGCGAAGGACTACCTCGTCGAGCTGTTTGAGCAGGCCAACCTCTTTGCCGTGCACGCGAAGAGGGTGACTTTGATGCCCGCGGACTGGGAGCTGATGAGGAAGCTGAGGAAGAAGGAGTTCCGGAATCCCTTGGGAATGGCAGCGTTCTGGTAGCCACGAGAATCAGGACAGTGTGGGGAAAATAACATAAGCCTTGCTGGCAGTTGTACAGAGCTACAGACGGTCGAGATAGTAGCTTTACAGATGAGACTCGAAAGTAGTTGTCGACGAGTTCGTTCTAACGGTAATAATTGTGCACTGTAATGAACGCAAGATCTTGACGTTGTAGAAAGGAGCTTTCAAGCCATGATTTCATCCCTCGTGATGACCAGGACATACACTCCAACGCCCAGAGATGTTACAATCCTCTTGCGAGCTGATAAACTCATTTGACGGGCACCAAACCCATGTTTGTGCATGAAATGATGGGCATAGGATGGTTTTGCGCGGCGCTTCCGATCGACATCCAATCGTATGACAGATTGGACCATTTGCGCGGCTTGCGGCATCGAACGCGCCGACCCGGCACTATACGGCATGCTAGCGGCAGGTGCCGGCGCACAGACGGCACTCGCCGGCGCACAGACGGCACTCGCCGGCGCCGTGCTGTGCCGGAGTGGTCTTGACGGTCGCGCCGGGCGGCATCAAGGGCCCATATGACCCGGCACGGACCGAGACCGGCGGCGGCACTAACATAGCCGTCCGGCACCGGTCCCGGTTTCCACGGCCGGCATCACCCTTGTCTGACCTGTGAAAAGCTCAGCCGCCCGGCCCGAATTTGCGCCGGACCGGCGCTCTTGGCCGCCGGACCGGCGCCGCAGGGCCACATGCGGCAGCTCCGAGGTACTCGCGGCATACTGGCGGCACATATACGGCAGGGAGAGCACAGGGGCGGCACTCTTCCGGCATACCGGCGGCGAGACAGGAAATTTCCGATGTTGCATCCGGAAGCAAGGTTTGACACTGAAGTAATATGCGTGCCAAGGATGTCAAGAATCAGTACTATACCATCCAAATGTTCCAGTGTGGGTTGATTCTCATCATTTCAAGCTATCAAGCGGTGGGTATACAGTCGCTTGCGAAGCCGGAATAGCTCGATCCTGAAGATGATCCTTGTCTGTTCTCGTTCAGGGGTCATGGTCTTCCAGTGATCGGGAGTCTGTCACGCTGTAGAGGCTCGTTGCCGTGGCTCATCGGAGCTGCGCGCGCGCGCGAACTTTGTGAGCCGTTGATATTAGGGCTCGACCCGATCAGACGGCTGTAGGTTGCTGCAGTTTGTAGTCTACTATGTGTAGACTCGAATGCTGAGTGACTGCGGCCAGCCCTATAAGCTGGACCCGAAAGTTGCTGATGCAACTTTCTGTACGTTGCTCTAAGAAGGAGGAAGGCGCGCTATGGCGGCCTAGTGAGACTTCCATAGGCAGCTTTTCTTCATGAGCGCCAAAGCAGAAGTTCCCTGAGCACATGTGTTTGTGCTCTTGTATGTAGTGCGTTTTGCGGTGTGCGACATGGCGGCGTGGCGGTGTGCCACTTGACATTCCATCATAAGCGGGGTGCTTATATTTGGTAGCCAGCTAGTTTTGTTGTTGTTGGATTGGCATGATGCAACGCGTAGATGATGCGGAAGAGATGCTGGTGCCGAGGCGCTGCCGCAGCGATAGAGTACCTCATGATAAGTCTGCGTTTCACTCTAGGGCATATGAGCCTTTTCCGGCCACCCCTTCTTGCCAGCAACGTGATGCAGTCGTTCTTCAGCTGTGGTCGCTTCCATTTTGGATCAACATATGCGGCTGCGCTCCGTCAAGAACTGACCTCCATGGGCGCCCGGAAGTGGACAGGTGCGAAACGCTTTCTCTAATTTAGGCGTGCTTCGCTGATGAGAATGGTACGAGAAAGTGTTGAGATACGGGCATTTAGGGACCGAATCTCTGGGTGATTCTAGGGTTTTCGGATCACGACGTCGACGGTAATTCGATGGTAACTA